TCTAAATTTCTCTGGATTATAAAGTTTGGTGATAATGCATTTTGAAAAGGCAATAAATAGTATGTTGTGACAAATGGCTTTGTATAAACAGGAAGAAACAGATTTGAAGAATAGCTTATGAAGATGTTACTGTAACTGAGCAAATGTATGTTCTATTAGGAATACTCTAGAAGTCACTCTTTCGTCCAAATGTGGCATGAATTTGTGTTGTTCCTGATGTAAGCTGGATTTTCTTTGTGTCTTGAAGATGAATTATTTAATTGGTGTTTCCCTTGAGGGGTGAGTGCATAGTTTCAAACTCATTCTCCTTGCAAGAACGCGTAAGCTAGTTAGCTTATTTTCCTTCTTTTTTTGTCTTTATATACTGCATTGAAAGAAAGAACTTGACCACCAGTAGCTGCTTTAGTTTAGTAGCAGTTAAAAAGTAGTTTTCAGTAGCATTACGAAATCAGGTTTGTTTAGTCAAAATGCTCTGCTTAGATGGTTACTGTGATTGTTTTTGAAAACTGATTTGTTGCTGTTGCTATATCCATACTGTTCTATATGTTTTTCAGTTTAGGTAAGGGATATTGGGACAGCAAATACACTAAAACTTCATAACTGAAAACACAAGGTGTGGTTAACTTCACTACGTCAGTAAGCCTGAAAAAAAAAAAACTGGCCTCATTATGAATATGTATTTCGTACCTTTGAGGATTGGCACAGATGCTGTAGCTTTGGCTGTGAACATTGCAGGGCTTCAGCTGTATGACACACGTGTGTAGTCTCTGAAGCAGCATTCCACTAGTGCTTTCAACTGAGCAAGAAGAGCGTAAAAATAGCATTGGTAAACTTTCCATCTGTATTCACTCAAAGCTGAAGCCTGGGAGGAGGGAGAATTGATATCGTATGCTCATAATTAAAGTTGGTTTATGATAATACATAGTTTGTACATAGTGCTGTCAGCCAGAAAGTGTTAAGAACTTTACAAAGGCAAATGATACTACCATCTGTGTTGTCCCTCCTCAGTTTCCTCATACGTGGCCCAAGCCACAGCCGCACAGCTAAGCAGTCTGAACTAGTAGTAACTGTGTCCCATCCTCCAGTTGTACTGGGTGTCGGCAATATTCCCAGCCTCCTCTGTCCCACTGACCTGTTGATGTTGCTGAGGTCTCCAATTACTCAGTGCAGGAGTAAGTAGAAGAGTTTGGGGTGTGGATTCTTAACAGCCAACTTCTATGCACATAATTCATGCTAGCATAAGGAGACCAGAGTTGCTGGTAAACCTGATTTTTATGAATTAAAGCAGTAACACAGGGCAAAACCAAAATGCTCTGTTACTAGTGACTATGGAGTATGTTGGTGCATTAGGTGTACCTGTTCTGAGTTGGGAAGTTATAGGTACAGGCTTGTGAATATAGCTGAAGATAGCATGTAAGAAATGTTATCTTTAATCATAATCAACATAGTTACTCATAGGCTATTGAGAATAGACTAGGCTGGAGAGTTTTTCCACCTGAAGAGTGTTTGTGGGTAAGGGGGAGCAGAAATGCTTGCATCATTTTGAACAGCAGTAGATTTGCACTTATAACTGACTTCCCTTGAGGAAAAAAACAGTGCCTGCCTTTTTATCTTCCTTGTCAAACCAGTATTTTGCATAGGCCCACAGTAACTGTTTGAATTGCTTCCTACTTTGGTGTTGCTGGTTTGGAAGCTGGTTTCGACACTGCAGTGTTGCCCTGCTTGTTTTGAACTCTGACAGGCTCCACAAGAGAAGTGCAGGAACATCCCACCCAGGCGTTTGACTTGGGTCTCCCGCAGTGTAGGATGGATCTCTGTTTCCACAGAGACCAAAGCTGGTGTGTTTCAGGGAAGATATTTTTAGGAGCTGCTGTTTCACTGGTGGAAGGACTTTCTTCCTTAATAGGAGAGCACAGTGTAACAGGATTCCTCTTTTCTCTTTTGCCTTTTTCTATGACATTCTTTCTTTTTTTTTTTTTTTTCTATGTCACTTAGTTTCCCTTTCATTGCTGCCCTCTTATCAAGGTCTGCTCTTCCTCTTCACTTTCTGTATCACTGTTGCTGTTGCATAACAATCTGATACAACAAGGGAGTTTGCAGAGAGTGGGGAAGGGTCCCAGCCTCTGCTTAAAGGAAACTTTAAGTATTTTTAAATGATTTTAAGTGTTTTTAAGTATTTTAAAGCTAGCATCCCCATATTGTACCTCTGAACAGTGCTTGCTGAGTCACCAGCTGGGCAGTGTTGTGAAGACTCAGTATCACAGAGCCAAGCCCTGGCCTTCAGCTCCAAGAACCTCACATGTGTCAATTATTCATGGCCCTTGCTTATGAGTTGTCATATGTCCTTTGGCCTTGCAATAAATTTTACATATAGCTGTTCCTGCTGATGTTTGTGGTAAGCTTGATGTCTCACCTTCTGATTGATGGTGTAATAGTAAAGGGCTTAAGAAGATAAATCTGTTACAGTAACTGTTCTGTCTTGGAAAGTTGGACTGTCTCTAACTTAAACAACCCCAGAGATTTTTTTTTTTTAGTTGGAGTACAAAGTAGAAAAGGCATTTGACCTAATGACAGGCTACAGGAGCATTAACTGAGTGTTCTTGTACCTTTTTATGATTTGGGTAGTTTTGGTCAAAATTGTCATGTTGGCTTTCTGAGGAGTTAGACACTGAGTAGTTGTAGCATTTATTTAGTGTTAAAGGGCCGCTTTTAAATATAGAGATTTCTTGTGCTGGGTTTGTGGTTGTGGTTTTGGTTTTTTTGTTGTTTGTTTTTTTTTGTTTTTTTTTTTTTTAATGGTGCTATAGGCTGTATCTGATTTTAACTGGAGTACAATGAAATCAAGGTTTTTTTCCAGATTACCTGTTGCCACAGCAGCAAGGTGCTTCATTTACAATGAGAGTTGATTTCAAAAACAAAATAACATCAAAAGGTGTGAATCCAAAGCAGATGAATGATGAAGAAAAGTGCAACGCTAAGGCAGTTGTATGTGGTGAAGGAATTCTCTTGCCACCCTATGCTGTCCTGTTATCCTGTGATTGTCAAACATGTGTTTCCAGTTTCTACTTAGATTGTAAACCATTCAGAGAGGATCCTTTATATTTATCATGACACTGGAGTTCAGAATGGTATTGCAGAACCTACCAGCATTAATGTAATTTTATCCCCACTTAAGTGCCATGTAAAGGATCTGATTCCAGTCCCATTTTCCTGTATTCCCTGATGTTGATGCATTTTTGCCAGTCTTTAATACGATGCCGCAGCTGGTAGATCAGCAGATTGGATGCATATGCTGCCATCAAAGGTATATGCCTCCAGCCCTCCCCACCCAACAGCCAGAGTGAAGTCTGTGAGGACAAGGCTTTGCTCCAAGATCCTGTTAACATGCATAGCAAAATCAACTAGGCTGTACTGTGTGCTGAACTATTTCTAATAGTAAGGGAGAAAAAATTCTCCTAAAAGAGCTTCACAACATCTCTTTAAAAACATGAGGCTGTGGCTGTGGTGATAGACCACCAATGTGAGCTGCTGCTTGGTTACCAAGAGGATAAAATTTTACACCAGGGAGATATTTTTATACAGTTGCTTATTCATATTACAGCAGATGCCAAAAGCACCCTTATGCTCAGCAGTATAGAAAATTCCAGTTTCACAGGGGCTACAATCCACTCTAGTTTTACTTCCTTGTATAACTAGGCAATCTTGACAGCCTGTAGTTGGATGTTTAGTATTAGGTTATTCTTCTGGTGTATTTTTAATTATTAATTGATTATTCTTCAGTTGTAATTTTCTCTCTTTTGCACATATATCATCACTGAGCTGCTTGAAAGTCAAGTGCTACGCAGGCCTGCCATTGCTATCAGCTTAGTGAAGAAGTTGAAACATTCCAGGTGTACACTGGGTATAGCCTAAACTGTAGGGTTTGATTTTCATTGTCATGGCAGTGACAGCAGAACTGTAGACAGTGTAGACAGCAAAAAGACACGTTCTCACTATTTTCTACTAGAAATATGTTCTTTTCTGCACTCAGTTGTTCTTTATACAACTTGCAATAGGAAGTGGAGTTATACATGGAAATCTTCTGGGTAAATATTTTGTAATTAACCAAGTAAAAGCTTTAATTTGCAGCTTTCCTAACAAGCAGTGGTGGCCAAATACTATTGTACTCCTCAGTCCTTCCTAGACACTGTCGCTGCCTCCTGTGCCCCTTCCAAATTCCCTTATGTTTTGCACATTTTAAATAAAAACTGAATTAGTATATTCCTTAATAGTACACAAGCTAAGACAGCTTTATAGACTGGATGGGAATAGTGGGCAGCCAGCCAGCCAGGACTCCCTATGAACACTTGAGTTTTAGGGAATTATGCATCTTAATAGTTACAAAATGAGCTTGATGTATTTTTAAACTGGAAAAGAAAAACTAGGAATAATTTACACTCATTAGAAAATGGAAAAAGGAACAGTACTATCCTTTCAAATTTTTATTCTCTTTAGTGTCTTCAGCTACACTAACAAGGCAGTTTAGTCTTTTTGTTCCAACTGCGTGGAGAGGTGAGCAGAGGAGTAACCATCTTGATTAATAGTGGAAAGGTTGTTACTTTCCAGAATATCTAATTCAAATTCTGGAGAGTTACTCTGCAATGGGGGGGAGGGGGGGGGGGGGGTGGATGAAGAAGGGGGAAGTCAAATTTATAACTTGCTGTGCCGTGGAGTGAAAGATAGGAGATGTTGAAGATTAATGAACAAACTGGCATTCTTTCTTTGGGGTTAGTTCTCAGTCTGTGCAATGTTTTGATTGTTTACTTTACTGGGCTGTTTTAAAGTTTAGACTTGTAAATTCACATCTTCTAGGAACAGATTTTAAAGAGCTACAGTGGGTAGGAGGGAAGCTTTGTTTTTTGTTGGTTTGGGTTGGGTTTTGATTTTGTGATGCAAATTATGTTGTAAACTGGGTTTTTTTGTTTGTTTGTTTTCTAAAGGGATGTTTCTTGTCTCTGCAGGTATGGTGTTAGCCCTGAGAACATTATTCTGTATGGTCAGAGTATTGGTACTGTCCCTACAGTAGACCTGGCATCTCGGTACGAGTGTGCAGCAGTAATCCTTCATTCTCCCTTGATGTCTGGATTACGGGTAGCTTTTCCTGACACTAGGAAAACCTATTGCTTTGATGCTTTTCCAAGGTATGTATGAACAGTGCAAAGAGGGTTGTTCTGGACTCCACATGCTCCTTAGGTGTTTAAAAAGGAACTTTATTGAATTGTCACCTGCATTCACCTGCATTTTAAACTTTTGATATGCACACCTTCTAAATCCAAGCAGAGATTTACCATGTAAGAAAGAGGCTGATGTCAGTCTCAGACTGACATGATAGTCAGTTCAATGAACAAAAGAAGTCTTAGTATTTACAATAGATTTTATTCCTGTTGTTTGTGGTGTTAATATCAGAATTTTTATGCTGTCAAGTTTGGAGTAGTAGCTTACTGACTGATAATACTGAACTGAATCCTTCAGGCTAATGACTCATTGGTAATTGTACACTCTTAATATCTCAGTTAACTTTGATTTAGAAGGTAATATGATATGAAATGGATGTGCTGTCTTCAAGCTGCTTGTTGAAATATTTCTATAGTTTTACCATATCAGCAGAAAAACAGGTACAGGTAATTGCTGCTTTTAAAGGGAGAAAACAAGACAGGGTCAGAGGCTAGAGAGCTGGACTGGTATGGTTCACTTCAGCTTGGTTCTGCATTTCATGTATGATCTTAAGGAAATTAATTTAGTGTTCCTTTGCCTTTGGCCCATGTAAGTAAAAAACATTTTACATCTTTGGCATCCTGTCCATATAAAATCACTAAAGGTAGTGAGACTTGTGCTTCCCTGATTGAGATCATGTAAGGTCCTAATGTCTGTGACAAAAATAAATTACTTTAAGAAGCTCTAGAATATTTTAGGTACAGAAACCTATATATACAACTGATTTCAAGATAAAACAGTGCATTTATAGCCCATTGTTTCATTTGAAAAGCAATTGCCACAGACCTAAATTAAAATATCCAACTATCTGAGAATAGTATAGGTCCTGGGAATAGCAGATGTTCTAAGAATCTTTTAAAACTTCTTATCAGACCCAGTTTAAGGGAGAATATTAGAGGAGGAAGACAGTCTCTTTATAGCAGTGTATGTAGACCTGGCATGGGGGTGAGGGCAGGCACAGATAAAAAGCTAACAGATCTGTTGAAGGGAGAAGACAAGAGACACCCTGAAGTCTTGTGCAAAGCTTGGCTTTGCTTCAGAAGGTCATGTTTGCAATAAGTGTAGTAGGGGATACTTGTAGCATTCATTTTGTTTTATTTTGGTTACAACAGATTAAAATTAGAAGGTGGGGGAGGCTGTAGATGTAAATCTGTATGCCAAAGCAGCTAGAAGTAATAGTGACCAGTAGTGGTGCTCACAGTGTCTGTGTCCAGTCGCCATGTTTAGAATCCTTCCAGATGGGTTATGAATTAAATAAATAATTAAATTGTTGAAGATGCAGTCAGGATTTGAAACCCTTACGCTTATTTGAAACACTCATTCATGGTCCTCAAACCTGAAATCCAGTATTTGCAAATGCTTCTGTGAGAGGGGAAAAAAACAAAGCCTTAAAAATAGCTCTGATGACAAAAGTAACAGCGATTAGCTGATACCAGCCAAATCAAATAGCCATTTTAAAAGGAAAAAGTGGGAGGGGGGGAACAGTGACAACAGATGTACTGTAGCACTTGAGTATTTTGTTCTTACCCTACTGAGCTGTTCATTGCTGTCAGTCTGACTTCACTTGCACTGTAAGCAGTGAAAATAAACAGCAGTGCACTTTTATGAATGTGTGCAGCTCAACTGTCTGTCTTCATGGTGGGAGACAAAACAGTTCAGTGTGCACCTACAGTGAATCGCTATTATGTGCATTTTATGCTGGGACTCCATGAGAATTGGGTCTCTGTAGATTTTTCTAGCTGCAGAGCAGTGTGGCTGAGAATACTAAGTAAGTCTAATGTGCAGTTTAAATACTGCCTTACGAGTCGCTGAGTTGGCAATGGGATGCTTTCCAGTTTTCTACAAAACACAAATACTACCTGACTTAATGGTCTGTGGATATACGTGGAAAAAATAGTTTTGTTATCTGAATACTGAAGTGAAAGGGATTTCCTGGCTTCCTACAATGAAGAGAACTTAGTATCTAGCCACTAAAATTAGGCATAAATAGCTTTATGTAGCTGACTTGCCTGTCACATGGTGGAGCTTGGGGGCAGACCCTTCATGGGCTTAAGACTTTATATAGTATGTTGATTGTAAAGTATTTACATTTGGCTATGATATTAATTTGGGTATGAAAACTGGGGGGGGGGGGGGGGGGGAATCTGCATTATTCCAATGTTTCTCTTACATTCTTGGGATATTTTTCTGTATTCAGCGTAGTTGTACACAACTTGAGCTCCAGGCAGGAAAAGTGAAATAGGCTGCATTTTAATTTTAAATAACACTTTTCCTCTTTAAAAGACATGAAGCCTGGGATTTTTTTTTTTTTTGAGACGCATTGAGACAGAAATGTGTTTATACCGAGCTGTTTACTGAAATACCAGTAACGGTTCTCTGGAATACTAAATGCTGAGACTTATATGCATGAGGCTTAGTGCTTCAGTCTACATCTTAATTTTTAATTAACTTCGTATTTTCATAAAGCTTCTTTAAACCTGTTTTTAAGTCAGTGTAAGTTGGCATCTGTGTTTTTTAATCATTTTAAGCAATCTTGATTACTTTGTAAGATCTCTAGTCTTACCAAAATTGCATGCTTTCCTGTTCTTCAGGAGCAGGAATCTCGAAACACCTTTTATTAGATAGCATAAAGAAATAGACTTCAAGGCCAGGCTGGATGGGGCTTTCAGCAGCCTCGTCTAGTGGAAGGTGTCCTTGACTGTGGCAGCAGAGTTGGATGACCTTTAAGGTCCCTTCCAGCCCAATCATTATGATTCTGTCAGATGGAATATTACTGATACTCATTTTTCTGCCTGCTTCATCCCATACTCTGAATAATGCCCTGAGCCAGTTCATCCATTCGTTGATGAAAGTGGAGCTGGTAGGAAGCTGAGAGTTCATTAGCACTTGGTGTCTATATACTGCTTTGGAATTACTGGTAACTACGAACATGAAATGGCTGATAGGAAATAAAACCTGGTGCCTACATGAAGATGGAGAAAACTGCTGTTTACTACTTGGAAGTTACTTCATAATTGAAATTTTCTGGCCCAGACTCTTAGGTGTGAAGGTGCCTTTGTCACTTTTCCTTCTCCTCTGAACCTGTTTTCCTGTGAGAGGTGTCCACTAGCCATATTGATCTGCTAAGAAGCAAATAGAAAAAAGTTTTAGACCACTTTGCAGTGAGAGCTGGCAGAGAAGTTGGTTACATGGAGTAAAATCCTGTGAGAGTTTTTTCTGGTTAAATATCCTTGTGTAATGCTCTTGTCAAAACAGACTGTTTTTCTCCAGCTGAGTCTACCTAATTTGGGGGTTCAAAGACAGGTGCAAACTTCATGAGCTAAGGCTTTTTTTTAATGAAGTCTTACGACTGGAATATAGTTAATTACCACCTTACAATTTAACAGATTAGGAATTGATGTGAAGAGTCCACACTGGCAGTATGTCCTGTAGAATCTTCCTTGCCTCTCAGTGTTTTTTGTGATAGATATACTCACTGTTTTGGGGTTTTTTTGGTGCCAGACTTTATTTGCTTGCTGCCCATTTGAGCTTCTTGTCATCAGAACTGGTGGGATGATGGGGATGGCAGTGCAGGCTCCTGTTTAACGTATGAATTTTGAGAGTGAGCCTTGTTCCATATCATTTGGGCACAATTGCAGTGTTTTGCAGCCCTTTAAAAGTGTGCAGTGGTAACTGAATCATGTATGGATAGTTAAGGTTGCTTTCTTTATATGTAAAAGATAGAGCCCCAAACTGAGCTGTGTTTTTTCTTTTCCATCCACAGCATTGACAAGATATCTAAAGTAACCTCTCCGGTGTTGGTAATCCACGGTACCGAAGACGAGGTGATCGATTTCTCCCACGGCCTGGCCATGTACGAGCGATGTCCACGAGCAGTAGAGCCCCTGTGGGTGGAAGGTGCGGGGCATAATGACATAGAGCTTTATGCACAATATCTAGAGAGACTAAAACAGTTCATATCTCATGAACTTCCCAACTCCTGAAGAAGCCTACCTGATTTTACCTCAGTTACTGTGAACGGAAGAAATTACCTGGTTTTGCACATGCTTTAACTGGATAGCTGTAATAGCTTTATACTATGAAGAAATACCCTGTCGTTAGGGTGTTCTAATCAAACATCTGATGAAATTTGTCTTTTGTATCTGGAATTTATTCTACTAATGCACACAAATATGGTCAACTACTGTAATTCCAACAATTTTTAGCTTCGTTGCCCTGGAGGAAGTGGGAATACTAGCTGCTTACGGGGACACTTTTTACCTAGTGCTGTATTAATCGAAGATCAGTTTTCTCTGTCTCACTTCAGATTGTTTGTAATTCTGTCCTTACAAAGACTTATTTCCCCAGTGTTCTCAGCGTGGAGAACACACTGTTATGAGCTACAGCTTGTTCTGAACAATCAGTCATGGGTTCAATCCAAGGGAGTACTTTCTCTGTAAAGTTTCTAGCTGTGGTATTTTAACTGGAAAGTTATTGTGATGAAGTTCCCCCTCCTCCCTTCTAGTGTTCTTTTGTTAACTTACTGATCTTCCCAAGTAAATTATTTAAATATTACTTTTTCCTGAAAATAAACTACTATATGGGGCTAAACTCTGTAATGACCTCTCCATTTACCTGTATAAATGTAACTGGAATTACTCTTAAAGGAACTAGGGACAAAAACTGCTTTTGTTTAAAAATCAATGTGTAAATTTACTACTAGAAAACTCATTTTAATATTCAGATGGTCTGAATAATAGCCATAACAGACATTTCCTTCTGTAAAGCATTCCTGTAGACTTTTTAAAAGTACTGTACATATTTGAATTTACATTGTGCATAGATTCTTAATTGGTAGTTTTAATTTAAGTCTAGTTACAATAAACTGCAAAATTCTGGTTTGTATATGATTGAATACATTTTGTTAAAATATGTTTTTATCCCTATATTATTTTGCTATTAAAGTTTTATAAAGTTTCCAGGACAAAAAAAAATAATAAAAATTTACACATTTATGTTTTGATGAATTTATGTAACTAAATTTTCATTGAGCTGATCTTTTTAGTTTGGAAGTAATTTGATTCTTTGACACTGGAATCGCACAGATTATGCATCAGAAATGCAAGACACTTAAAAATTGTTACACTACTAGCATAGGTCTAATTTTTCCAAATTTAAAGGCCTTAAATGTACTGTAAGCCTCAGATTGTTGTATAAATTGATCGCGATTGATTGCAGTTTGTGTCCTGTTGCTAGAATGCAGCACAGTGATTGTAATGGAATAAAGGATGCATGGATTAGAGCTTGCTGAATTTCTGAATCTTATTTGGCATATATTTTTCATGCATAAGAGAAGTATGAAGTACAGATTATTTGATAGAGTAACTTGAACTTCATTATTTAATTCCTTCCTTTCAAGGAAAACTCTCCTCAGGTACAAAGCCACATTCCCATGAAGCCTGGTATGTAAATAAAATGTAGAAGAGGCTACTTTTACATGGTGTTCAGCTGGTTTTAAGTAACAAAAAATCATGATTCATTGCTCAGGAGAAATGTTTGAACATTGTTGTCATGAGTCCTTATAACAGGCCTGCAGTTAATTTTCAGCACTGCAAGTGTGTCTATTGTCTTTGATTATTGACTTGGCCTTGTTACTGTAAAAGGAGAAAAACTGGTATTTTCACTTACAGAGGGGGGAAATGAGGACACCCATCCTGCTCTGCATCATCTGGATCCTTAGAATCTGGATCTGTGCATCTGTGTTGCCTAGTTGTGAGTTTTAAATGCTCAAGCAGCAGGGCCCTGGCTGTTCTTTTGGCAGGCTTGCCTAATCATAACCTGAACCTTGCTGCTCCCCCCTTTGTGTTCAGATACATGTCTTATCTTTGTATTTATTTTACACCTTCATAAATTTGCAGTGGATGTTCTTCCATTTCTACGTGTGTTCTTGTGGAAACAAAGCTGATGTCTGTGGTACAGGTGTTTAAGGTAACGTTTGAGAGTGTCAGCTTGTCCTTAGAGTCACTTGGGGAATTTTACTTAATTAGGCGTTGTCTTCTGATACCCACATTGAACTTTGTGCTGCTCTGAAAACTTAAGCCTATAATGCTGCTTCTTTTCATCACCCCTTGTAGCTATGCTTTCCCTTCAACAAACTGGTATCTTTAACTGTTTCCCTATAAATCAATTTTTTTTCCCAGTTACTACTGTTCTAATTCCTGCAGTCATATTGTGACTTGTCTTTGCATTTGCTTTGCTTTTGTCAGTATTCTTCTGTTAATGAGAAGCCCAAATCTGGATTCAACATTGTCACCTATGTCCCATTGTCTCTGCACGTGCAGACTGAGTTCTCTGTGTTCTGGCTGGATGTGAATTTCTACTTGTGCTGTCTTTTATTTGTCCAAATTCCTGCCTCACTAGTTCACAGAGGTGCTTGGCTGTTCTTCTGGCTTCTGCGTTGTCTGTTTGGCTTTGTGAAGTTTATCTACATTTAACTAATACAAATGTGTTGCTGTTAATTAAAATGTTAATGGCTTATCAGTGACCTGCTGGTATGGATCCTCTTCCCTCTCTTTTAAGTCAATAATTCATTTACCTGTTTGGTCCCTGAAATAGTTTTTCTTGTGGCCTTGTTCCCATACAGTAGTTCTTAAATGAATTCTGAAATTGTTATAATTCTTTACATTGCAAACTTATATCAAAGCATCACTATTTGAGGCGTTTCAAAACACCACTGCTGGGCAACAGTAGAATTGTTGGTTAAAAAACCCCTGTGGCCAGCTTGTGAAACACAAGACAGTGGATGTCAGGTCCCTATTTTTTTAAAGAAAAAAGGTTAGAACAGAGTTTTTCACTGATGATGGGAAAGGGGGGGATGTGAGCTTATGGAAGAGAAACTTTGGGCTAAGAAATGGTCTGTTCCAGCAAACTGCTGACATTTTGGAGCTACCAAGGTGTCCATGTAAAAATGGCTGGCTGTGCCTGGGTAAATCATGCACTGGGGCTTCCAAGGGTCTCTAACATGTTTATTTTCTTGATGTGGATGCTCCATCCATTTGTCTTGTGTGACTTAGCATTGTTTTTCATATACTACAGCCATATGTGATGTACTTCTGGTTTTAGGGGAGGTAAGATGTGGCATATATGTGTCAGGAGTTGTCTGTACTTTTACAGAGGAAAATACTTGTTAAAAAGGTTAGAGGTGGCATTTTCTGAGGTGTTTGATAAGCATCCTTTTGAAATATATGTAGCTGTTACAAATTTAACTTACATTCACATGGAGACTTGTTGCCTGTGTTGCCTCTGCTGCATTTCAGTTCCTTGTTCTCCCGTGTTGTTCCTGTAGTTTGTGGCAGTTCTGCTTTGGGCACTGACCCATCAGCTTTCTAAATGCCCAAACCTGTATTCACACTTAGTACAGTGCCCATCTTTTATAAACTCTGCATCATATTTGCTTTTTCTAAATTATGCTAAACACAGAAGTAAAGAACCGATGTGCTTTCTTCCTCTGGTTATTCGTTCTGCAGTAAACTGTGATTGTTCTCATTTGGAAGATGTTTTCTTCCCCGGGTCTTTTTTATGAATGTAAATTAATTCTCATGAATGAAAATTAATGATCTTGTTTAAATTCATGTAACTTATTTCTCTGTATCCTTCCCTGTGCAATTAACCGGTGATTTTAGGTGTGAAATTTCTTGTGTTGCAAAGGTTTTGTACAGCTAGTGCTGGTTCAAGGTAGGCTGATCCTTTGGTGGGCACCCTTTGAGTGGGAATAAGGTCAAGCACAGAAACTACCTGCTTAGCGTGTGGTGTTTTCGAATTGCAGCAGCAAGTCTTAGATTGTGTAAATTTCGAAGCGGGAGGTTGTATTTCAACTGTGCTGTATTTAGGTCTCATAACTTTGCCACAACAGTAGAAAGCACAAGCTGGTCCTTGCAGCAGGAGTGTGAGTGCTGCTCCTTTGGCATCATGCCTCTGGCAGGGTCTGGTTCTGGAGCTGGGTTCCTGCAAACTGATTTTCCAGATAGTGTTTGAGTAACACGCCTGCTGGCTTAAAAAAAATGAAAGAAAACCCAAGTTCACCCCTCCACCTTAGGCACCTTAACTGTGAATTGTCTTCTGGTTCCTGTAGAGGTGAACACGCTTTGTGCTGGTTTCCTTGCAGCACGGCGGTGGTAGGCAATAAGCCGGCACACGTTGCTTTTTACAGTGGAACTCTGAGCTCCTGTAGGTCTGCCGGGCAGCGGGCACGTTCTGTACTGGCCACTCTCCCCTGTGCTTGTAGCTGTGCTTGCGCTGCTGAACACAAAGGTGCGCTCATTCTTCTCCGTGTGGGACGTGGCCGAAGCAGAGTCCGCAGCATCTCCGCTGCCCTGCCCGCGTGTGTCAGCCGGGCCGCGCTCTGCTCCGCTCCGCCCAACCACCGGTGTGCCCCCAGCTCGGGGTTCACCCCTCCCGCCGCGGCCCGCCCAGCCCCGGGGCCGGGCTACGCCCGTCGGGGATCAGCGCACCGGGCCGGAACGAGGGACGCGGGGAGTCCTGCGGCACCGCCGGGCGAGCAGCGCTGCCGGCGGGGTGATGGGGGGCTCCGCGGGGCTAAACCCTGCCTCTGTGTCTGTTCCAGGTGCCCCGGGCCCCCCGAGGAGCCCCCCTGGCGCCCGGCTCTGGCTGCTCCCGCTGCTGCTGCTGGCTGGCACCCAGCCCGTGGCGCTGGCGGCCGGCGGCCACGGTCAGTAGCGACGCGAGGACAGGCTCCCCGGGAGTGCCCGGAGGTGGGGTGGGCAGGGCTGGGGAGAGGAATCGGAGAGGGGAAGGCGGTGCTGCAGCCGCGGGTCTCGGTGCGCCGAGGTCCTGGCTGTGCAGTCCCGGGAGAGGGAAGGAGCGGGGCTGTTGTCTGAACAACAGACGGAAGGGGAACGCGGCTCTGGTTTCCAGTTTGACTCCCAGACGCAGACAGATGGCATGATTTGGCTGTGGCTTTGGAGGTGACTGCATGCAATGGGCCTTTAATGTATTTTCTTCTTCAGTTCCTCAGGCTTTTTTTAGTTTAAGGGCTGCCTCTGAAAACATTGATCCAAACTTTTGTTTATGCTAAATAACGTTTTACGCAGCAGTTTATTCTAGAAAGCTTGCAGACATACTTAAAGATTTAACACTACTTACGTTTTAAGCCACTCTGCTGCAACGGTGCCATTAGGTGCACTTAGGGAGGCTTTTGAGTCTGCCCCAAAGCCCTCTTCTCTTTGGGTCTGCCCAGAGCCCTTTCCCTTTGGCTTACTGGATGGCAGGGGTGCATGCACTCCTCCTCAGCATGGATCATCCATCCCCCAAGATGTCTGTGCAGGAGGAGGGGGTAATATGGACCCCAGATTGCTGGGGTCCTCCTGGAGCTGGGTCCTTCCTCTTCTCTCCTTGTTTGCTCCCCTCACATTATCCCATCAGTAATCTGCTGAACAGCTCATTGATCTCTCAGGGGCTTTATGAACAGGGCTCTTGCAATGACTGTTGGTTGCTTGGAATGAAAGATGCAGTGAAGATGCAAAATGCTGCTTTTGCTATGGCATGTCCCTGAGTTATCTGCTGCCATCTGGTCGTAAGAGTCACATTTTGTAGTTTCTAAGTAATACATTATATTTCAGGGATGAATTATAGCCATAAATTAACAGAATACTTCACTAACATGATTACAATATGCAAGAAACCCCTGGACTGTAAGTCACAGCTACTTGCAGCTGATAACCTTGAGGCAAATAAAAATAAATACCTGAAGCTTCTGAAATGTGCTGGGCTGGGATCCACCTCTAGGAAGCAGAAGAGCATTCCTTAAAATCTCCTCTTAGAAATGAAAGTGAGGCTGCAGGCACATTCCAGGGGTCCCAGGACGTGACCTCCAGCCTTTAGCTGTTACGTCACAATCTTAACTGTTTCAAATACTTTTGGCAAGGTGCAGTTGTGTTTGGGGTTCCTTTGTCCCTTCTGATTATTGGAGCTTTCTTATGTGTTTGCAGCCCTACTCCTCATCAAGTCCCAGCCTACTTATGTTGCCTTTAATTGTTTTATTGATCAGTTCTCAGAGCGTAAATTCAACCTTCAGGCTCAGCCTGGATGTGGGAGAGCTGAGTATGGCTCCAGAGAGTCCCAGTTCTCCCATACGAGCACCTTCTTGTCCATAAGGTGAAGCTGCTGTGGCCTCAGAGCAGACGCAGCTTAACCCTGTTACAGCAGGCTGATGACTTTAATCAGCAGGCAGAAACCAGAGGCATCACCTAGCAAGCAAAACCGAGGCTTTTGTTTAAACCTGAC